ACTGTTTTACAAAACAAATCATACCGCACTATAGTTAATTGGGTTAAGGTGCGCGACTGCTGCCAACGCTTGTTCGTGCGCAGCCAAATTTTCATGAACAGCGAGGTTGAGCCGGTGGCCCGCGCAGCCACTAGAGGTACCTCTATTACAGCCGCCGGCCTGCGGTTTAATTTGTCGCGTATAATGAAGCGAAACTGCCCTAGCTGTACGCCGAAGTCACGAGGCAGCATTGTAGCTAGGAAGGCTTGGTAGTTTTCCGCCGAGAGGTCGTCATCAACCTTGTTGCGTAGCGGAGCCATGCTTAATGGGGGGTCCTCAGCATGCCGCTTCCTTCATAACAGACAAGCAGGGCTACGTAGTGCTAGGAAGAATGCGTCCAAACGCGTCCAAACGTCGAGCCGTAGCCCAAACGTATGGGGAGCTCCGGTGCAATTGAGCGCTTGACTGACACCAGCACCCCATCCATGCCAGCGTGTCATCTATTCTCTGAGATTAGATCCAGGCTAGTAGCTGGCAAAATTCAAACATTAATTTAGCATTAGCGATTTGTATGATAATTAGCATTGTAAATGGAGTTATAAATAAACAAAACAAAAAATTGGAAGTGTCTACGTTCACCAGTAATATTGCTACGAAAAAGGCCAGGGTTTGGTTACCGGGATATCGGGGTAAGGGTGTCTCATTTTGAGATCTTAGAGATTTTGCTGGCCACTCAGTTTCACAATCCCCCTCTCCACACTTCCAGCACTAGCACTCACCAGCAAGCGATGCCGTCACGGAAGACGAAGAAGTGGGTCCATGTCAGCGACAGCGATCACAACAGCGGAGATGATGCCGATGATGCCGAGGATTTCGAAGGCGTCAGCGTCTCTTTCCCCCCATTTAGCGGGGAGTTCAAGTCCTGGGACGCATTCCACGAGGAGCTAAAAAAGTAATGCTTACAATTTTTGTTACTGTATGAGATAAAAGCTAATATTTATTTTAATTGATAGGTACCAGGAAGAGACGCATCAACTGTACAAGATCCGCTCAACTAACTCCGTGGTCGATCCCAACAAACATCGTCGAGCTGTAGCCTTGCGCCGTGGGACTTCTCCCGTTATTTTTGACGAGTCGCTAGAGCTATATACGTAAACGCTTATCTGCACGCACGGGTGGACATTCAAGCCCAGGGGGAAAGGAGCGAGAACCAACCACAACATCCGTTCTATCGACTGCCCTGTAAAGCTGAATGCCGTTCTTATCAAGGAAAAAAACGAGAATTACAAAGTTCGGGTCACCAAGCACGTGGCCACCCACAGCCACGACGTCGGTCAAGACGTCTACTATACCTACGCAGAAGCCCGAAAAATTACTTCGCCAGGCACGCAACGTGTCGTCGGGACGATGATGCAAGGTAGTGAGTCTTTATATCCTAGTTAGCTATAATCGCTCCTAACCGTTTTCAACTGTCTTAGGTGGTTCTAAGAAGAAGAAGATACTGCGCTATCACAAGGAGGTCTCGGGAAAGGTTGTTCTACCCAAGGATGTCGAGAATCGCATTGCTAAAATGCGTAAGGAGACCTACACTTCTGGGGACGACAACGTGCGCGTGGATCAAGTGCTTAAAGACTTAGCAAGGGTCGTGACAACGCTGTCAACGTCTTTCGTGATAAAATTACGGGGCTTACATCGTGCATTACATTCCAGACGGCCCACATGCGACGGATGGTGCGTAAGTTTCCGGACGCTGTCTGCGTCGATGCGACTTACGGAACCAACATCGATCGGTACGTCGTATGAACTGATGTTGTATTTACCAATACATTGGTGTTGTGGTCACCAACACATCGGTATCGTAGAAGTAAGTGTGAATAATGATAAGCCGCCATCCTACACGGACGCAAGTATTGTTGGAGAACTCGCAAGTTCGGATGACTTTGTTAACAGTGTCACCCATCCGTGTGATACTGGTGATGATACTGGTAACAGTGTCACCAATTCGTGTGATACTGGTGATGACATTGGTGATGGTGTCACCAATTCGGCTAGCCGAGTGCCGCCGCTACGCGGCGGGTAAGAATGAATGTCGTTCATTGTGCTTTGCCTCCGTTCCGCTGGCCACGGGCTCGCTTCACTACTCGCACGGTAGGTTGGCAAATTGTAGCTCAGGCGGGACCAAAGGCCCGCAGGGTTGCAGAAGGTGCCGCCTCGCTGCGCTCGGCAGCTAGTAGAAATATTTAAATTATTTTACCCAATGATTTGTTCGGAAAAGCGTGACAGGCACGACAATTTAGTGTGACGGACAGACAGGTTGCTGCATTTGATGCTTAAGATACACCCAGTTCTGGACGTGTTCTCGCGTCCGATTCGCCGATGGAGATAAAATCGAAAGGGAAAGACGGTCCACCCAGGCTTCAGCTGCGAGAACTAGACGGAGACTAAACCTTTACGTTTCACACAGAGACTTGAGCGATGAAATAGTCAACATTGTGTTGACGCGGCCAGTAAACCTGGAGGAAGACCACGTGAAAAGGCTTCTACAAAGAAGGCCAAGCGTCGAAAGGAGTTTCAAGACACCAAGGCGCTTATTCAGCAGATAAACACTTACGGAGACATCACATTGTCCACCTTGCGTGAATATGTGGATCAACAAAAACTGTCGCTGGAGCAAATAGAAATTGACCCCGTGTTCAATGCAATCTGCCCCAGGCGTGATGATGCCGTCTTCAAACGACCGAAAGGACATGTGGTAACTCGGGAACAACAAAGAGTGTGGAGACGAATATACGATACGTACTTCCAGAGCAGCTCGTCCTGAAAGCTCAAACACCCGGCAGGAACGCCATCTTGAGAGAGCAGAGCGAGTATGGCCGGACACCACCACACGAGGACATAACCGTTTCAATTTTGGATGTGGGATCATTTTCTCTCGTCGACATCGACACTATGCATGAATGGCATTGTCTGAAGAATTAAAAAAGTATCTGCCGCTCGTAAGCTGATGAAGGGGATCGAGACAAAGCCTCAAACAGAGACCCGCTGCGAAATATTGAAGCGTGTGCAAAAGATTAACATGTACACGTCGTTGAAATCTAAGAGCGGGAAACACTTGTTCAGTGACGACTTGACAAGATTTGCGGGTGAAATGTGGCTTAGTGACGGGTGCGTATTTGTGGCGGCATTGAAGATAGCAGAACCATGGAGTCGTACCCAAAATAGTGGTAGAATCACCCAAGTGCACGTCGTTGATCCAGTTTTTTCTTGGGTTTCAAGACGCTGCAGACCGTGCAAGACTGTTGGATACCAGGGAACAGTTGCTGAGTACAGTCAGCCAAAATCGCGTCATCCTGATCCCAGTCTACATCGTCGTTGACATCAGCCATTGGTGCGGAGGGATCGTCAACTTTGGCTGTAAGACAATCTGGATCTACGATCCGAAACACAACAAAGAATATTTGAATGCAGTGACTACAACCATGACCAAGAAAGTGCCAGTGATCGACCAAGCATGTAAGTTAACTATCCGCCGGTCTTCGGCGTGGTATCAAGACGACGGGACAATTGTGGAGGTTTTATTGTGAAGTGGTTTGAGACCTATTTCAATGTCGCTCACAACACTAAAGTGGACGAAGACCTGGTGCAGCTGACTCCTGAATTTACTTCTGCTAAAGACCTGGGCGATTGCAGATACAAAATGTTTGAGTCAGTTTTTATGTATGTTACAAGCTAGCTAACTAATATGAGACCCACCATTACAATCGTACGTGCACGACAAATGTAGACTTCTCCCAAGATCTAAGTGATCTTCTAATGACTCTGAAAAATGAATGCGCAGGTAGCTTAATCCTCGGACAACGGTATGTGGTACACACAATGCTTCACCAAGTTTTAGACTTTTTTTCAGAAATACCGACCATACCGTTTTTTGCATTAACCTCGCCCTAGCAATATTCCTTGAAGAAAATGGCTGATTTACACCCGAAAACTGGTATACGTAGGGAGAGCCAAAAAAAATATACCGTCTTGCCTCGTGGCTCTCGCGAAACGAAACTGGCAGGATGCACTGCATATTATATACCATCTAGTCGAATAGATTCTGGGAAGAATGATGGATTGAGTTGAGGATCGAGTCAGTTTGCTCTACCGCTGCTTCCAGCATCACCACTTCGTAGTCGGGCTGCTCGCGTAAAAATGCTGCATGAGGTTTGTGTAGCCATTCCGGTTCCTTTGCTTCCGCGCCGTGCCACAACGGCAGCAGAAATATTCGATGAGTACCTCATCGTGTTGGTCAAGGCGGGGGCAGAAGTAGAAGATCACTATTAATACTTGGACGTTGGAGTAGATTGGGCTGGGAGGGCAAGTTACATAAACCATGATAAAAAAGGGAATTAGTGTGTCTGCTTGCCGGAATGTGCTAAAAAGGAGAAGTAAGACGTCGGTTGGAGATTGACAGAGCTCCCGACATAACAGAGCTTCCGAAATGGTTGGCTTGCGAGTTAAATATCTTTTAGAGTACCGAAAAATAAATAATGCATTAAATCTTTTTCAGAAGATAAATTATTGCATTCAAGGTTTTGCAAATACGAAGTATTTTTAGCACACCACTATTTACTTAAATAATGTCATCGACAATGCTATTTTCTAAAGGCCCTGAATACAGTAATGGATATCGTAATAATAGTTTCAACCTTTTTTTCGATCCCAGCTCCCAGGAAACAGAGCTCTTCATCAAGAGTAACTTCTGGCGAAGAACAATGCTGCTCCATTTTCCACGAAACACCGTCACTAAGCGATTTCTTCGCACTTTCGAAGGTTTCGTGGCATGCGACCTTCACCTGACGCGTATCATCGCAATTGTTTTTGTGGGGGTTGCCCGTTCACATGTCAGATGCAGTTTGGGCATCCCTCGCAATCGCACACGAAACTCGTCAACTAAAAAAACACCATCACTACAGAATGCCATTCTCCAATTTCCAGTGAAATACGCACTCAAAGGCACCCTCCCCTTCCACTCAATAATGGTCAACATCATTAACTCGTGGTGGCTAGTAGCAGACTTCGCTACTGGTTCACTTGGCACCGCCAAGTCTCAAACGAATTCGCATCTGGGATCGTCCCGACTTCCGGAACTGAATATCCTCGCTGACACGGAGCCCCCAAGTGCTATCCCTGCTTCTGGTTCTATCCCCGAATTGACGTCTTCAACATCGTCGTCCAGCCAATCCAGCAGTCCGCGCACCAGCACAAGACGCAGCTCAGCCAGCGGAAGTCAACCAATGGGGAGTAATGAGGCTGGTTATGCCGGCTCCTTCATCACTAATCCGGTGATCATCAAGGGCAACCGCTTCTTCGACTCCGTTACAGGAGACTATTTTGCCATCAGAGGTGTCAACTACTATCCCAGACCCAACACTGGACCCCTGGACAAAAACAACCTCGACCTTTTCTCCAATGAATTCAAGCACATTTGGCAGCGAGATGTACCGCAGTTTGCTGCGCTTGAAGCCAACGTTATTCGACTGTACGCCGTCGACCCGGAAGTCGATCATACCGACTTCATGTGCACACTGCAGTCCGCGGGTATCTACGTCATCGTCGACCTCGGAGCCAACTGCGAAGGATGCGAAATCACAGCCGATTCCGCGCCAGCATGCTATCCCGCGTCCTACAAGACACGCGGAGAGAGGATCATTGAGCAGTTCGCGCGATTCGATAATGTCTTGGCGTTCAGTGGGGGAAACGAGATTAACCACCGTACCGGAGGTAATCCGTGGACATGGAACGCGCCGTGCCAGAAGAAGTTCATCCGAGACATGCGCGCCTTTATCCAGTCATGCCCCAACCTGCGGCAGGTGCCTGTGGGCCTTGTTGTTGCCGATACAAGCCGAGATGATAACGCGCAATATTACAACTGCCGCACTGATGAGAGCGACGAGCTTGAAAACGCGCAGTGGTATGGCATCAACACGTACGTGCACTGCGATGACATCTCGGACCCCACCAAGGCCACCGGCTTCAACATGCTACGCGACAGCTTCAAAAGCTACGATTACTCCATTCCCGTAGTGCTAACTGAATTCGGCTGTGTCAGTCCGGCCTTCCCTACTGTGGATGGCTACGAGGCACAGCGCACATTCCACGACGCTGTGTTCATGAACCTGCCAGAGTACAGCGACTACTTCGCCGGTGGCGTGGCCTTCGAGTACTCGACGGAGAATGCTAATTCCATGTCAACGTCAGCCTACCCGTTCAACACGTTCGGTCCACAAAACTATGGACTAGGGTATTTTATGCCGGAGGAATGCACGGACGCAGGCATAAACTGCACGTTCCAGCGATTTCCGAATTTCGAGAATCTCAAAGAGGCATACACGTCGTACGACAGCTCGAGCGAACCAACACTGAGCTCCTACAAAATCCCCTCGAACCATGATGAATCATCCGCTTGCCCAAAAGGTTCGCCAATTTTAAGCAACTTTACCTGGGAGGGAGATTCGTCCAGAAATTTGGCATGTCCATCGAAGGCAGAATCGCGATACCAGTGCCCAAACCTTCCTGTGCCTTCGCTTGCGCCTTCCCTTGCTCCTTCGTCTTCTCCCGAGATGTCCTCCATGGACGGATCTCTTCAGCTTGACGAAATTAACTCCGGTAGTGGCACCGATGGCACAGGTCCTGGCACCGTGCTTAGGTCTGGAGCTGTCTCTAGATACAATGGCGTTCTTGTCACCTTATTGGCTTCAGCTTTTGTAGGTATAACGCTCGGTCAGTGATCATAGATCGTTTCCGTGTCATCCTGCGCATTTATTATAGCTCAAATTTCGCCGCCGCGAGACATCCAATCCAATGTTTGGTAATTGAAAAAGAGTGCAAACTGTTGTTCTGTTATTCAATAATTTCGTGCTAGTATTTCCTAGTAGCTTAGTAAAAGCAGAACGCACGAAGCAGTAGCACGAAATGATGCGATTAAGTTTGCCCCCGAGTTTGAGGTTAAACTCCCATCTTGTGACGCCGACGCCGACTCGGAGACGGAACCTTCAACCGACTCGCGGCAACTATAACGTTCGCTCTTCAAACTCAGTGTCTTGAATAGCGTGTCGAAGTTCAGCGAGTTCGCAATAGTGCACGCCGTCGACTTGTCGCCGGAGTACTCGATGCCGAATACAGGTTTGTTCGCCTTGGTAAAAGGTACCAGCATATCACATTCGTTGTAGTGCACACACTGTTCGTTCACCGAGAAGTCAAAGACGGAAACCAGGTCCTCGACTTGATTTAGGTCATTTTTCAGACCCACGGTCAAGTTGAGATCGTGAGCTGTCGTGGCCAGGAACTCATTGAAGTCAAGCTGGTCGGCCGCCGTGAGGTTGAGGCCGTTGACATTGAAGGCGCCGTCCACATTGTCAGGGTCTACACCGTCACAACCTTTGGCCTGAGCAAGCTTCATGCGGTCCGCCAAGATTTCGCGCAGTTTCGTATTGCGAATGTCGACCCAGCTTTCACCTTTCCACTCTGGAAGAGGTGTGCCGATAATATCGGTGCTGAAGCGATCCTTGTCAGAACGCCAGTCTTCGTACGTACCGGCGCTGAAATAGCAGATAACCTTGATGCCTCGTTGCTGTAGCTCGGCAATGGTGGCGTTGGGTGTGTCGAACATATCAATGTCGTACATGTCGACGTCGTAGGAGAGATCGAGCGTCCCACTGAGTTGGATCTGGTAGGAGGTGTCCGGGGTGGGTTTCCACCAAGCATGGACACTACCGAAAAGGCCAAGCGACAAGGCAAAGGTGAAAGCTTTCATCTTGGAGTGTGAAGTAGACGATGAATTTGAAACTGATACATGGAAGATTGGTGCACTTCGTTGAGAGCAATAAATTGAAGGCATGTGCGTGCAAGGGCGAGCCACCAAACGACTCTGAACAGTACAGTAGTGGTAAGTCGGTGAAACTGACTGTACTTTCGCCACTTCCAGATGGAGAAGGCTACGGAAGGCCCCACCCATGTTTGCTCTACGAAATCCCATGCCAAGCTTGGCAAGTGATATGGCAATGCTTAAAGCGATGTTATTAAGCCGTTAGCGCCAAATGTAATCTTCATAAGACTACGGACGCAGTAGCGTCTGCAGCAACAAAACGGAGACTACAAAAAGCGTTCCAGCCCATCAGCTGCAGAAATCTTTCTGGCCGAGATTAAAGACCTCTGAAGAGAGCAAGAAGCCCAAGATGGCTCCAATGATAATAGCCATCGATGTAGGAACGCGAAACACGCCAACCATCAACGCCGTCGCCAGCCCGATCGCGGCGCTTGCGTTAGTGTGCACCGCTTTGTCCCACAGCAAAAAGAAGGAAGCAACAATGAGTCCTGTAGCGGACGCATTGACGCCAGACAGGAAAATCTGCAGGCTTTTGTTGCGGCGCACGCGTTCCCAGAGTGGGAGTAATCCAAAGAAGAGAATTATGCCAGGTCCGAACAGACCGACACTGGAAATGAACGCTCCAGGGACGCCGTAGATGAGCGCGCCAAGATACGCCGATATGTTGAATAGTGGTCCCGGTAGAGATTGCACGAGCGCGAGACCGATCAAGAACTGCTCCTTGGAGACCCACCCAGCCATCACAACGTTGTCCAGCAGCATCGGGAGCATCACTTGTCCCCCTCCGAAAATAATGGATCCGATCCAATAGAAAGTGTAGAAAAGTGATAGCACTGAGTGCTCACCGGCGTTCTGTGGATGGTAGTGTGCGAGTAGCACCAGAACTACCAACCACGAGAGCACAATCAGGACGCCTGCAACCGGGTGAATCCCAATTTGCCTGCAATTTAGCGTAATATAAGCACCTTTAAGAGAAGATTTTGTGACTGAACGTAGCAGTCCACCTACCTTTCAAGGTGGCTGGAGAGAGCTCGATCGTTAGAGAGTGGAGGATGAGAGTACCCGCACATTGTCGAGAACAATATGACAAGACCGCCGGCAGCCATAACTGCGGGGAAGATCAGAGACGACATGCCTTGTGTAGCTAGAATCACACAGGCAGACACTGACGCCACAAAGTTCTTCGCTGTGTCATCTTCGCACGCTTTTTGCCATAGTCGTACCGCCGCGATCACGACGATCGACACAGCAGCAGGTGCCAACCCAATCATCCACACGGGAAGACCCTCTACAGCAAGCACAACACAAATATCACAATGTCTGCTACGCGTAGTAACCGGGTTCTCATGGTACCTTGAAGATATGATTTGGCACCGAAGCCAGCAATTGTCAGGATAATCCATCCCGGTAGAACCCAGAAGAACAGCGCGATCAGCCCGCCCAGTGGCCCAGCACGGAACAGCCCCATAGCGGCAATTGTCTGCAGAAATTAAGTGTCAATTCTCCTCGTTCAGTAAAGCGTTTTTTCGCAAAATTCCACACCATCGTCGACGACGGGCCTGGAATGGCCGAGGCGATGGACAACACCTCCAAGAACCTCTCGTCCGTCAGCCACTTCTGTTTATCTGTGTCAATGCAGCAACAGAAGTTCCCTTTAAATTTTCTACAGGATCGAACATATTGACGCACGTACACACGAATCGGTCATGGGCGAGCGCAAGGTGAGCCGGAGGTCCCCCGAACGCGAATAGAGACAGCGGGATGACCTCGCGCGGTATCGAAAGCAGGCGTCGAGCATACGACTCGCCATTGTGGAGCGAGTGGTCATTGCCCAATGGCAACAGCGGCTTCGTCTCCAGTCTGGACATCGCAGTCGTCTAGCAAAAATGAAGAGGCGTTGAACGAATCTTGAAATCGGGACCAAATTTGCACATTTAAGGATCTTGTATTTGGGTGTGTCTAATTTGAAGATGACTTGAGAATTGTGGTTTCTTTTGAAGGTGGCAAAATTGCTGTTACGATGGAGTGCGATGGCACTTGGACTGTGAAGGTGCTCGATTCGGTCGTTTGTACATTTGCCACTTCGTCCGAGCTTTCAAGATTCAAAAATTGGATAACAACCTGATTATCGGGAGTGACGAACGCGCTGTCAATTTCCGAGTCTGCGTTTAAGGATATTTTTATGCGGCGTGAGCCTGCCGGCACAAATTTGGCGAAATGCCCCATGAAATAGAACATGGGCTGCTTGTAGAACTCAGCGCCGTTCTTGGCGTCAACGAGAATGGGCGCGTCCACCATATTCTTCGCCCAGTTTGGTCCGCCTTTGGTATCCAGGACCATATTCCAATCAGTCCACCCGCCCGCATAGCTATTCAGGTCTCCAATGATGTCACGACCATAGTTCTCACCACGAGTCCAGCTCTTATCGGCGTCTGTAAGAAAGGGTCCTTTACCCGTTCCTAAGGGGTTTGGCATGTACCCTTCGCACGCTTCGGACGGAAGGATGAATAGATCTGGGTAGGAATCATGCAACTTTCGAAGTTTACCAAAGTGTCCACCCATTCCAAGTACGAAATCCACATTGCGGTACCAGTGAACAGCGACGCCACTAATACACTGTAGTGAATCGGGATCCTCAAGCGGCTCCAAGCGAATCAAAATGCTCGGCTTTTGATCATCATTTGCAATAATCTTCAAATTGGGGTGATGCTTCTTCATCAGAGGCCCAAGATCGAATTTAATAAAGTCTCTTTCTTCTTCAGGGGAGATTCGCAACGTCTGCCATTTAGCAAACGCGAGAAGGGGTTTCTCAGGTTCATTCTGGACAGTCATCGCCCAGAAGTCAATGCCTTCTTCCTTGTAAGCTGTGAAAAACTTGGAGTAGTACAACGCCAGTGCCTTCCAGTTTTCATCGCCAGGCTCACCTTTAAGATGACAGTTGATAGTGGAGTTCTCTTTCGTCATCCACGCAGGAGGTGCCCACGATGAAGCGAAGAGCTTAATGTCACGCGACGTCATGTCCAGCACACGCTGGATTAGCTCAATTTTGTGGGACTTCGGAGCTTTATCTACGTCAATGGAGAAATTTTCCATAGCGAGATCACCCTCCACATCATTATACGAATATATACTGGTGGAGAAATCGTTCGACCCGATCGATACACGTCCGAGGATATACTCGAGTCCTTTTTCCGAAAAATACTGGTCCAAAAGTATTTGCTGGAGTTTCGGCGACAGTTTGTAAACGTTGATAGCTGCTGAATCCGTGAACGCAGCGCCGAAGCCAATGATCGTCTGGTACTGCGTCGATACGTCGATAGCGAACGTCGGACTGCTCACCGGTCTCGCATGAAATTTCTTCTCCTTGTACTCGAGTCGTGCCCCAGATTGAGACGTAGTGAAAACACCGACGTGTCCCTTCCGAAGGCTACGATAGTCATTCGAAACTGAGTCGCACTGAGTTTCGTTGCAGACGCAAACGCCCTCCAGGTGATCCTGGTATAGAGAAGACCAACTGGAGCATGCTGCCAATGCCGGGTGCGGCGCGAAGGACAGACTTCCAATCACCGCAGCGCCGACGGCAATGCACCCAACAGCTCGCATGGCTCGAGGCAACTCGTCCAGCTCGAATCTGCAAGCCAGTCTCCCGATTTTATGCTGGGAATTGCAGATGCCAGGTGTTGTATAGGAAAAGACCACGAGAAGTATCGAATTGGTAGTCAACAATGGCGTTGAAGTTTTCGTGTTGACAGCAATCTACGATCTACCGGTACTCTGTTTAGGTAGGTAAGAAGATGGTGTAATACTGAGGCTAACGTCGGCGTCAGGATGCAGAGTTAGAAAATCTACAGGATTTTGGTATCCTCGGAAGCCGGGAGGATAACTGTCTGCATCGAATTGGGCGGCAGCGTCAGCGAGAACGTGTTCGAGTCCGTCTGCTTGACGCTTATCGAAACCGGGTCGTCGTCGCGATTCAAGAACTGCATCACAATTTGGTTGTCGGGGGTAACAAAAGCGCAGCGGTGGAAGTCGCTCAGTGTCTCGGTCTTTGGAAATTCGATGCGCTTCGATCCCGGCGGTACGAACTTTGAGAAGTGGCCCATGATGTAAAACATGGGCTGCTTGTAGAATTCGGCGCCATTCTGCTCATCGACAAGAATCGGCGCATCCACCATGTTCTTCGCCCAGTTCGGACCACCGTCCGTATCCAGGAACAGGTTCCAATCGACCCAGCCGGCAGCCATGTTGTTGCTGTTCTCAATGATGTCACGTGCGTAGTTCTGAGCTCGCTTCCACGCCTTCTTTGGATCATCCAGAGAGGGTCCCTTGCCGGTACCGATGATGCCGGGCAAGAATCCTTCACACGCTTCCGTTCCGAGCATGAACATGTCGGGATGAGCCTTGTGGAATTTCTCCAGATTCTTAAAGTTGCCAGCGAGCGGCAAGATAAAGTCGAGATTCTGGTACCAGTGGAAGGCAAGCCCACTCAAGTATTTCTTCGACTCCGGGTCATCAAACGGCGCTGAGCGATCCATGATACCAGGCTTCTGGTCATCGTTGGCCATAATCTTTAGGTCGGGGTACTTTTTCGCCATCAACGGACCAAGGTCCAGTTTAATAAAATCTCTCTCTTCCTCGGCAGTCAAGCGCAGCGTTTCCCACTGGGAAACAGCGAGAGGAGGTTTCTCAGGCTCATTCTGAACTGTCATAGCCCAGAAGTTGATACCTTCCTCCTTGTAGGCGTCAAAGAACTTGGAATAGTACAGCGCCAGTGCCGCCCAGTACTTCTCTCCAGGCTTTCCTTTCATCTTGCAGTCTACGACCGAGTCTCCTCTCGTCATCCAAAGCGGGGGTGCCCACGACGACGCGAATAACTTTAGCTCAGTCATTTTAAGAGCACGCTGGATCAGGTCGATTTTGTGCGAGAATGGTGCCTTGTCGGACGCGATAGTGAAGTTGGTCATCTTGAAATCGTCCACCTTCTCGTTGTATGTGTAGGTTCTCGTAGAGAAATCGGTCGAGCCGATCGGTACACGAGCCATATTGTACTCAAGGCCCTTCTTGGAGAAGTATTGATCCATGGCCAAATTCTGCAGCTTGGGTGACAATTTATATAGGTTGATGGCTGCTGCATCCGTGAAGGCTCCACCGAAGCCGAGCATGGTCTGGTATTGCGTGGTAACGTCGATGGTGTAGGTGGGTTCGTCTACCGGGGATGCGTCGATTTTCCCCACCGTGTACTTTAAGCGAGCGCCGGCCTTGGCCGTGGTGTAGATGCCAATCTCACCCTCCTCGAGATTCGTGTGGTCGCCGACAATTGTATCGCATTGAGTCGCGTTACAGACACAGACGCCCTCCAATACATCCTGGTAAAGTGACGACCAGCTGGAGCATGCAGCCGACACCGCACTCGGGGCGAGCAACAGACTCGATGCGAAGATAGCAACGGGGGACAGAGCCTTCATCCTGGTGATGCCAAGCTGGCAAGTTTTCCACTTGTGCGATAATGCCAGCGCGTTAAGAACTGCTTGGCAATGTACGCTTCATTGCTTCAGATAGAGGAGTTATCATTGTCCCGTCGGATGCTGTGCAAGGATCTGCTATCTGATAAAATGTACGATTCTCTTGATAATTGTATTTTAGATAAAAGTTGCAAGCCTCTGGAAAAGTTGACAATCCCATCGTTTGTATTATCCTGGTCGATTGCAGCTGTCTGCTTCAATTATTTATTATAATCGCACTTCGCCCAGTACTATACTATAAAAATATTGGGGCGAAGCAGCAGTGTGCCGGTACTATTATTATTAAAGGGGTTAATTGTCGATTTATTAAAAAGAGGTTAATTATCTAGATGACACCTTGAGCTTGTTTGCGCCAGAATAGTTCTTTTAGTCATTGTAGCACAAAATTTCATTGCTTTATTTTTAGTTGACGACGCAGTTATACAAATAAGATAGCCGAGGTTCTTTCCAAGATTGCCGAGGTTTTAGTATTCCCGACTGAAAAGACGACTTCAGTAGAAGACAAAAAGCAAGAGGGGCATGATGATACAGTGCTGGATGAATTGCAACACTCACTCAACTATTATAGGTGTTCGCAGTTATTTGGGAAAAGTCACGGCTTCTAGCCGCTAAATTGTTGGCTACAAGGCACACCAACACGAAATATGACATGCAGAAATCAATACCGACTCGTAAAGGAATAAGTCAGGAAAAACCACAGACACCCGAGGGTCTTTATATACCACATTGAAAGACGCAAGATGCTGACTCGCGCCTCAAGACATACATATATACTTCTATAGAAAAAGAAAACAACTATTAATAAAACAAAAGTTTTGAGATAGCCGAAGTTCATGTGTGAAATGGTAAGGTGGATTGCCCGTTGTCAAGTTAGTGCCGCCTTACAGAATTGTGGTGTCATCCGACCGAGGTAGAATCACTGTCGCAAGGAAAGTGCAGGGAGTGACAATGTCCAGAAACCGATGCCTCCCTACGAGTACGCATCGAAGAACTTGGAGTAGTACAGTGCCAACGCCTTCCAGTATTTTTCTCCTGGCTTACCTTTCACGTGGCAGTTAAGCGTTGTGCTCTTGGTAGTCATCCACATTGGAGGGGCCCACGAAGATGCGTAAAGCTTCATCTCATGTGACGTCGTGTTGAGTGCACGCTGGATGAGCTCAATCTTGTGAGACGACGAAAACTTGTCCACGTTTACGGAGAAGTGCTTTATCTCGAAATCGTCTACTACGTCGTTGTACGAGTAGATGCCATTAGAAAAATCTGTCGAGCCGATCGGGACGCGGCCTAAAGTGTACTGAAGCCCTGTCTTCGAGAAGTACTGATCCAGCACCGTTTGTTGTAACTTGGACGACAACTTGTAGACGTTGATGGCTGCAGCGTCAGTAAATGCACCACCGAAGCCGATGATTGTCTAGTACTGGGTGGACACGTCGATGGAGTATGTGGGATTGCTCACAGTCGTCGTGTCGATATTGATCACCGTGTAGGCAAAGCGGTCTCCATCCTTGGATGTGGTGTAGATTCCCACTTGACCCGCCGTAAGGCTAGTGTAGTTGTTGGAGACGGTGTCACATTGCGTTGCATTGCAGACACAAACACCTTCGAGGTTGGCTTGGTAGCGCGTGGACCAGTTACTGCAGGTGGCCGACACGTCTTGAGTTGCGAGAGCAGCGTGCCGGCAATGGCGGTCAGCAGGTGCGGATTGAGCATGTGGTGACACTTGAGCTTTACTTGGTGGGGATTTCAGGCTAACTGGAGTTTCCGAAAGTGACTCTCACTCGACATCTTGAGCTCAGTGCAAAGGTTCCTTTTGTTTGACGGTGACCCAAAAGGATCGTGGGGGAGAGGGCTGTGTTGATATGATCTCTATGGACGCTGTTAGTACATGTAGTCTGCGAGCACGAGCGCGACATATCCCTGGACCAGGGCCTGGTTGCTTCGACTTGCATTACCTGCCTCAAGACACGGGAGTCTCGTGTGACTACCCTCGCGGCGAGGGGTACGAGGTGACACTGTCTGCCAGGCAGTACCGACTGTCGGTGGCGATCAATTTGTGAATTTCGGTGAGTGAGAAGGTTCCTCGACTCAATTATTCAACGAGGCAAATGCAAACTTGCGAGAGTCCCGAGTTGTCTAACAATTTCTTGCGAGAGTCCCGAGTTGTCTAACAATTTGTTGTTAGACAACTCGGGACTCTCGCAGGTTTGCAATTGCCTCGTTGAATAATTGAGTCGAGGAACCTAAAATCTCAGGGTTAATTTGTTATTTGTTAGTAGCAAATTAACCCTGAGATTTTGGGAAGCAATGGTAAAGGGGGACATAAAACGAAGCCTAGTCTTACACTTGTCCAGAGGTTTTGTGTTGAATGTGTCTATTAATATTATACTGCGGATAAAATGGTCGCATTTGGAATACTGCAGTACCTACTCGGTGGGTTTCATAACTCAAACGTGTGGCTTACGCCATCATGGCCAGCGTAGCTAGCACGCTCGCCACGGCGAAGGCAACACTGGCGGGGGTGTTAACTGAGACGGCGGCACTCGATCCACTGGCAGCAGTCGACGAGCCGCCGCTACTGGATGCGGAGAGATCCGGCACAAAAGCCTGGGCCGCAGCGCTGACCACAGTGATGTTCTCGGCGTCCGAGCACGTTTCGTTCTCGCAGATGATGCTGTCCACGAGGTAGCGCGGCTCCGAGTTCACGCTGTTGAGATACTCGTTCTTGCTGTCCGTGGACGCAAAGTAGATCTTCTGGCCGTTTTTCAGACACACGTACTGGTAGTTGGACGTGGTGACATCGTCGCCTGTGACGGGATCCTTGATGCCGCTCGCGCACTCCTCGCACGAGTCCTCGCACTTAGCGTAGGCAGTGGAATCCGTCGAGTTAATGATAAACTCGGCGACGTTGGCGGCCAGATACGCCGTGTCGGTAACGTCGAAGCTGTAGTCATCGAAAGAGCGAGCGGCCATGCCACACGTGTAGATGGTCTGGCCGTGATCTAAGCCGATATGATTTAGGTTGTCATAGCCCATATCCTTGGTTGACATGCCGCACACGGGGCACTTGAAGTCCTCATCCGAGGTAATAGTCGTAGTGGCAGCAAAGGAGGAAGACACCTCCATTGCCATTGACATGTCTATGGTGGAGCTGGACGTCATGTCCATACCACTCATGTCCATCTGCAGACCGCGCATGGCATGCGAGTGGTGCATGCGGTGCGACGTGGCCGTAGAGACGGCAGCAGCGGCGAAGGCGATTGCCATGTACGATGAGACGGCACGCATTGTTGACGGAGGAGAAAGTTCGGGTGCTGTCGGCTTGGACTCAAATCGAGAAGTGAGTGTGGACATGTGAAGCGGCGGGAAAAAAAGGAAGATTTTGGGGCAGAGGTTGCACCCTGTCATTCAACAATACCAGCACAGTGGTGATTTCGAGAGTCCACGCCAGCCTTTATTGTGCTGGTATTCTAGCTATAACTTACAGCCAAAAAAAGCTAGCAACATCATTTAATCAAACAATTTGCAGCGGCAAGATGCGGTTCCTCCACGAAGGTCATTGCACAGTGTTGATGAGCTAAAATAAAGCGTCGAAGCATACACGTTATTTAATTTTTTAGCAAAACAGCAAGCGAATCGTTTCCTGAGAGGGAACGATTCCTGAGTGCAAAGTGAACGCTTTTTGTGCGTTAGTCAAGGCAACAGAGTGTTCATTGCGTATGATTGAGGGGCCAACACTTCTAAGTTAGAAGCTCTAACAAATAAATGTAGCCTTATTAATAGTACCCATGCGATCTTTCGCTGGTCGTGTGCCTCTTCATTCGTTCACAGTCTTGTGTCAAAAAGGCATAGCAATGCTCCGTTTTTACTGTGCATGCTCAAGTCGTCTACATCTTGCTTCACCTAAATCGTCGTCGTCGGATAATAGAAGCTGAGCATGTACATACACCCCAACACGTATCTTCTGTTGCAACTTGCATGTAATAGAGGATAGAACTCCAATGTGGAACGGACAAGGTTGCTTCACCAAGGAATATGTACATGTACAGCGGTTTCTAAGGATATATCGTATCTTACGATATTGGGCAAGTCAACAATATCCTGACTTTCCCGGATAGTATCCGCTATTAGCGGATACTATAACGTTAGCGGACCGCTAACGTTATAAACCTCCTAGCGGCTGAATTACAGACAACGACGGTGAAACTAAACCCCCCGTAGACATGCATTTTCAAGTCATTTTTAGAAAGGCCAACAAGACAAAAAAACTCGACCCCTTTCGTGGTATCACCTGCGATTGGTCAAAATTATACCGACCCAACAGTTTATTAAAAGTAGAAAAAACAATTTAAACAAACACCGTAAAAAAGCAAAAGCATGTATTATTTTGCTCTACACCATCACGACAGGGTGTTTTGGGATTGCTTTTTCAAAGCTTTTAATAACACATTCCGTAGATGTATTTTCCCACGCTCTAATTGTGCGTGTTACGGCAGCCAGACGCTTTTCCTTCGCGGTTCTTGTAACATAATAAAATCATTAAATCATTAAACAAAACTTACCATCCGCTCTAATGGTGAGAACTGCAGTGAGTCTACCAGAGTTTTTCTGCGTGTGCTTCACTTTAGCGGAGCCACGACGGCCTTTGAGGGCCCAAATCTTGTGGGGTGGGGTGTCAAAATATATTGCTGTCTCGTCGACATTGTATATGGCGGATTGCTGGAAGTGAGAATGCTGTTTCCAAAACTCTATGGCAAAGTTCAAATGGATTTCTTGTAGTGCATCTTCATCCTTTTTAGTAAATTGCGGTTTCTGAACAGAAAAACCATGGCTATAACATTAAGAAAAATATGTAAGCAATAAATATTGATTAAAACACAAATAAAATAGGATAAATTGCTAAAACGTTTGATTAAACCAACATATTGGAAAACGAGATGCTTACTGTAACGGGGTACGTAGCACTAAGTGTACCCTGGTTACATGAAGTGTGACACTTCACACTTCAGGAGTATGACATGTCATACTCCGGGATATTTGGTACAAGGTACCAAGGTCATTCAAAACCAACCATTGGTTTTATGACATTGCATTTCTATAGGTAACTGATAGTTTGTATTAACCTCAAACTTAACCTACCTATAAATATACTCAGTTTACAATCTACCTTATTTAGGTCACTTCGCTCTCTTTAATTAAAGAGGGGACCAGTGAACTGCCGTTCACTGAGAGTTTGTATACTCTCGGAAGATAACTTCCTCTAGCGCAAGGTGCTGTGTGACCCCGTCACACTTGGTAGCACTTGTAGTCAATCCACGCCATCGCGGGTAGACTACCTGAACCTCCGAAGTTCGTTGCCATGGATAGGAACGACTTCTCCCATATGAACGACTCTCAGTTCGAGTCGGTTCGGAAGATGGCAGGCATCTTCGGGATGGAGGCCCTGCAGAGCCTGGTGGTATCAACACCGGCTGAGCAGCTCGAGCGCGTCAATGCATTCGACGCGTACGAGCAGGGCCTCATCGCGCATGTGCGGGAGAACCTGCAGGCTCCGGCGGCGGGAGCAAACCCGCCTCACCCGAAGCCAATACGGCTGAAGGTAAAGCCGTATGAAGGGAAGGAAGGCGAGAACCTTCACTTCTGGGTCCGAGAAGTAGAGCTCGCGATGGACGCGGCTCTGATCTCGACCGAGCAACTGCGTGTTGCTTTTGCACTCTCCAACCTTAGCGGTCGTGCTAAGAGTTGGGTGTACACTCGGGAAGCGACATCCCCTGGATGTTTCACATCCTGGGCTCAGCTGTGCGAACAGCTCCGAGCCGCGTTCCTCCCGGCGAACTACGAGTACCGCCAGCGTTCGCGCTTCCTCGCGTGTAAACAAGGAAGACGCGAACTGCACGAGTATGTGCAAGAGATACGGGAGCTCACGGCGTCCCTAGTGGGAAACCCACTCAATGAACACATCAAGATGACTGTGTTCATGGACGGCCTTCGAGTGGGCCCCGCACGCACTCAGCTGTTTCGGGTGCAGGCAAGCACCCTTGAAGAGGCGATTCAAGTGGCTCTTCAAGAAGAATACAGCCATCGCCAGGCGCGTACGCCGGCCTCAGCGTGGCCTGGGAGTTCCTTGTCGGCTCCCGGTCGAACAAGCCCCAACGGACCAGTTCCCATGGAACTCGGGTCCGCCGAACAGCGTGACATCCGCTGCTTCGGCTGTGGGAAGATGGGCCACTTCAAGCGCGACTGTCCCGCGGAAAGACTCCGCAGACGGTCCTTCCCCAAGCCCGTCCTCAAGGGTCGCTGGCAGAAGCCAGGATCCCGGGGACAGGGGAACGCAGGGAACCAGTAGGGGCGGGGCGCCCTACTGGGGAAGAACTAAGTCTTCGTGATGGGTGCGCGGGTGGCGCGTACCACGGGGACTTAGCCCCTGAGAGTCTTCGCACTCTCGAATCGGCGAAGAGCAGCGGCGGGTTGCTCGTAGTACACGGATGTGTACGGGGGTACGATCACCCCTTTAGAATCTTGATTGACTCTGGGGCGTCGAAGAATTTCGCACGCCGCCAGACGGTTGCTCGTAACAGCAACAAGTTGTCCGAAGATTTGCGAGAAAGCAAGGGCAACGGGACGGCGTCAGTGCGACTGGCCGACGGGAAGGTCGTCACTGTCCCCAACGTCCAAGTGGATCTGGCTGTCAAGTTTGAAGACTTTGACAGCCTCGAACAGTTCACTGTTCTCGATATGGATCCATATGATATGATCCTGGGCATGCCCTGGCTTGAGAAGCACGAGCCCTGGATCGACTGGCGAGGCAAGGCAATCGGTGCCAGCCGCCCTGCGCAGTCCGACAGAGCATTGGTGAGTCATGTTCCCACCTCTGTCAGGACCCGGGGCGCCCGCGAGGGCTGCCAGGGTACCAAAGCATCCGGCAGATGCTTGGGAGTCGTCGACGTATATGACGACTCCGAGGATGTTTTGATGGTGGCCGCGCCCAGAAGAGGCGCCGGCCAAGTGGGTAACTTAGGTCCACAGGCGGGTAACTTAGTTCCGCAGACAGCTGCAGCTGTCATGAACACTGAGAACAGCGTGTTCAGAGTGGGTAACAGAGTTCCACTCACGGTCGCCCAGACCATAACTGAAGAGGAAGACGTCGGATACGCTTCCTGTGTGGGTAACACAGTGCCACACGCGGTCGCCCAGACCTTAACTGAAGAGGAAGGCGTTGAACACGCTTCCTGTGTGGGTACAACAGTACCACACGAGGCCACGAGTGCCTCGGATGTCGTAGCGACGACATCCCTAGACGTGGGCAGCAAAGCTCCCCGTCACAGAAGCCGTCGGCAAAGACGCCGCCGCCGCCTCAAGTCGGATCCGAACTTCGTTCCGATCGACGTCGCTTCAAGCGACTCGGAGTCCAGGGCCCGGGCTCCTCCGACAAGGCCGGTGGAAGAGTGCTATCACATCTTCGATAGCGAGACGGGTTTACCCGTCAAGGCATCTGGTGTCCACTTGGAACAGTTGCCAGAGGTTGCAGAGATACTGAACCTCGAGGAAATGACGGCTGAGTCTTTCCTGGCCAACCTCAAGGCTGGAGAGATCGCTGAGATGGTACTCATAAGACCTGAGACCACTCAGGAGGAGCTGAACTCCTCCTCTGTCTTGGACGAGAACGTCCTGGAAGACATGAACAAGCAGCGTCAGGCGCGCTTGGGTTCTGAGATTCTCAAGAACCCCAAGGATCCGGTGTATCCTTTGGTGACGGAGTATGCGGACGTGGTGAATAAACACCCACCGACCCAACTCCCACCGGATCGAGGCGTACGGCACGAGATTGATCTCGTGCCCGGCACAAAGTATTGTGTCACGAGGCAATGGCCTCTCCCGCGCGAGCAGTGCGAGGTCATTGATGCCTTCTTCGCCGCGAAAGCGAAGGCAGGCATGGTGCGGGAGTCGAAATCCCCGCACTCGACGCCGACTTTCTGCGTTCGTAAGCCGAACGGAAAGTGGCGTCTGGTTCACGCTTATAACAAGCTGAACAACGCAACGGTGCCGGCCCAAACACCGATCCCACGAAAGGATGTGTTGTTGAACAACATGGCCGGGAGCGTACTGTACAGTGCGCTGGATTTGGTAGACGGATACTACCAAATCCTGATGCGAGAGAGTGACATCCCGCTCACCGCGGTAAGCACTCCAAGCGGCATGCTTTGGGAGTGGCTCGTCATGCCGCAGGGCTTGTCTAACGCCCCGGCGACGTTCAATCGCCTGGTGACGCAATTGTTCCGCCCTTTGCGTACCTTCGTACAGACGTACTTCGACGACATTTTCGTCCATAGCCGTGCCGAGGGAGGCAAGACGGC